TGGAAGATGGACGTTTCCACACAGGGATCGAAAGAAAAAGGACGAATGCATAGAGTGAGATAGGATAAGTCTTAAAAATTTGTATTGTCTAGTGATGGTTTGTACAGTTAATAAAACCATGTAAACAGTCATAATAATATGTACGTCATTGATCAATAGAGAGATATTAGTGGCAGACATGTTCACTACATGCAGTGACTATACTCGACTTGTCAAAAATATATCCATCATAAAACCATGGACTACCATATATTAGAGAGAGACACAAACAAAGAATTAAATAAATTAATTCAACAACATGTAAATGGACTAAAACTGATCACACTAAAATATCACACTAAAAATATATGTCACATTAATCTTTCTAAAAAAATGTACACCAAATTCACACTTTTATAACCTCAACATTTTTTTTGTCAACTTTTAGATATATTTTTGTTGATTTTATTTATTACTTTGTATAATATATTTAAAGATTTGATTAACACATCTTTATTTTGCTCTTTGACTTGTTCGATGTGGACCCATTGTCGAAGTGTGTGTCTGAGAATTTTATTTTCAATAACATTGCGGGTTATAGATCCAGTGAATAATCTTTTCATCTATCGATAAAAAAATAATAAATTGAAATAAAATACGTATTTCAGACATTGTGAAATGTGACAGATTTAATAAATGAAGCAAATAATATTTTGACATCAGTCACTTTCATCGATAAATTAAGTGTGCCATAGGTGCACGGAGGTAAGGAATTCACCGTGCCATTACAGTTTTTAGGTGTGCCCTTGGCACGATGGCACTAATAATTTCGAACCCTGATACAAATTTAATTGTGTACACAAAAGTTTCCTTTCTATATTTAATTTTTTTAAATATTTTTTTAGTAATTAGGGCTGAAAGGCTTGAAGACCTTTATTATTATTATTATTATTATTATTATTATTCCGCCAATTTTTCTACCAGAGCTAGCAAAGTAACCACTGGCTCGATTCTGTTGACATTTTGAATGTGTATGTAGACAGTTGAGTTCTAGGTACAAACAAAATTCCAAGGCTGTAGGCCCAAAGACCAAGGTAACTGAAAAACAAGTAATTTTTGAAGCTATACTTTGCCCTATTGCTTCGCAACTGCTTGTCCGATTACTTTCAAAGTTTGGATGTGTCTGCTGCTTTGGTTGCTTGACATTTTTGGTCATTGGTCATTGGTCACGTGGTTTGGCAGCCATATTGGATTCAAGGTTTTCACATGTTTTTTGGGGTATATGTCTTCAAATCTGAACCCGTTGCATGAAATGATTTCAAACTTTCTGAGAATTGTCTCCATACATAATACATCAAACCCTGTTAGCTGATTATGGATATCTTTTTTAGATGCGACCACAATGGATTTTGATTTTGATCATTTTTTTCACCAAAATTTTACTTTAAAGATCATATCTTGTAAGGTTGTTGACAGAAACTATTGCAAGTTTACATGAAGTTAGTGTGCCATATGCATACTATTGTTTGTTCTTGTCTTGGTGGCATGCTAAAAGTAACACTGCTTGGTGGTAATATTTGATTAATATTTGGGACACTCAAATTTTATAGTGGCGATGTCCGGTGACTATTTTTTTATGGAGTTGGTACAAGCAAACCCTTTGAGGATTCGAACATATTCGAGGTCGAAATTGGGTTTAGAATGGATTTGGATACCCCGGCACACGACAATTTTGTAGCAGCGATACCCTGCAAGTGGTGCCTACATTTGACGGATTTGGTACAAGGAAACCCTTTGAGGATTCAAACATTGACGTTTGTTCGCAGTGTGCCTTAGAGCTTGCCATCGCACCCTTTTTCTCAATGCTTTTGAGGTTTGTGTTGAGTAGTATACTGGTTTGGGGGGACTCAGGATTCCTAAAAAAATATAGATAGGTTCATCCTGCATGTTTTGTGAATAAAATATCAGAGATCTTTCCTGCAGAATCAGACAAGGAATTCAAGTATGCAAGACTGTGAACTGAATATGTGAATTTATGTATACCAAAATTGGGAGCACCTGTAGAATACAATACCACAACTTCTTGTGAGGACGATCTCTGCCGTAGGCCACGTGTCTCGAAGACGAGCAAACAGTTTTTGTTAGAATCCTTCGGACGCAAACTCGCTCAAAAGCTCACCAACTGAGCTACGTCCACACTGTGAAACTAAGTGCAAATTTATCTAGTCATGCCTACGGAACTGAATGAAAAGGGTCGAACACTTACAAAGGTTACGGGTAGGTTACTTTAGTCTACGGTCACTTACTAGTAATCCCGATGCCATTTGCCATTTCCGTAATCTACAAGATACCGTGTGGCGAGGAATGAGCCAATATGGCGAGAACTGAACTGGCTCTTGGCGTCAGGAGTCAGACGTCTGAATGACATGGGATTTAATAATTCGTCAGGTGATTTTTGTGACAGAAAAGTGTGGTAAGGAACACGGTAAGGATAATGTGGATAATTGTAAGGAACGAGGGAGGCATAAGCATGACTAGTGACGACACAAGGGTGAGTTTGCTTTTGAATCAGTACTGAATAAATGAAGCTGGTGAAAGTGCCTTGCTTGAATGTTCCATTTTCCAAAAGCCAAAATATTCGACACTGAACAATTTCATCCTTTTTTTCTCTCGACGTTTTTGTGGGAAGAATATTAGGAACAGCTATAAAGTAAATAATAGCCACTAAATGGGTACCTAACCCTAACCCTTCAATAATAGCCACTTAACAGGTACCTTAAACCCTAATGATCGTAAAGGGGTGACTGATCATAAAGGGGATCGCAGGGTGATATAGAGTTTGGGGTAACCTTCCCTAACACCGGCGACATTTGGATGTGTTCAGCCCCAAAATAATATTATCTAATAAACTGCATTGCTGTGCATACTAATGAAAATGAATGAATCGAAAATATAATACTTGTATTAATTCCCATTTATCATCATTTTAGCCACTTGAATTACGAAAAACTTACTATAAAATGCACCACGCAGGCTATATTTAGTGACAAATATTCAAAACTCTCAACATCGTTGGGTGTATTCAATGACATTGCGTGTAGAGACGATAGATCACTGGGAGGAGCTTATTCACACCCGATGACCCCTGACGTCACAGGCTATTTTTTCGCTGGTGTGACTGGCAACTAAATACTACAAATTACGTCATAAGGTATTGTCACGTGTTTGAAAAGTTTGTGGTACTGTATTCTAAAGGTAGGCCCAAAATTGTGCCAAACATATAACCTTAGCATGTAATCTGATCAATGTGCATGGTCCTCTGTAATTGTTGTATGAGTGAAGTCATGGATTATATACAACAATGGACTATTGAAGATCTGGGTCAGAATAGGTCTTCAGCAACCCATGCTTGCCATAAAAGGCGACAAATGGGACTGGGTGGTCAGGCCAGCTGCCTTGGTTGATGCATGTCATCCTATCCTAGTTGTGAAGATCGATGATCATGATGTCAATCACTGGATTGTCTGGTTCAGACTCAATTATTTACAGACCACCATCATATAGTGGGAATATTGCTGAGTATGGTGTTAAACAAACAAACAATATATGTAATAACGACTGCAAAATTTATTTTCGTAACCATGTTCGATGAGTTTGTGTTGATCTCTCTCATAGACAGATGGCTCAAAATGAAAGAAACACAAAACGGCATGTCCAGTCTGTTTCCCTTTTTCCTCCTTGCTGACATCACTTTATCCATTTTTTTCTCATCGCTATATCGGCTTTTGGTTAAGAGATTTCAAGAAATGACACTTTGTACTTTTGTTTGATGAACTAGTAGACCCCCAAGCCCACACAATACCCAATTTTGCATCTACAATACGCCAAGAATAACACATAATTGTCCCCGTGCTGATCCGGGTTAGAATTGGCCGTATGACTAACGGGATCAGGTGGTCAGGCTTGCTGACTTGGTTCATGCATGTCATCGTATCCCAACTGTGTGGATCGATGCTCATGATATCAATCACTGGATTGTCAGGTCCAGGCTTGATTATGTACAGACCACTGTCATATAGCTGGAATATTGCTGAGTGCGGGTTAAACAACAAACAAACAGAACTTCATTGGCATCTTGACAAATGCACTGCAAACGAAGTTTGTAGCAAATGTTCACATTTATTTCACTTACTTCACAATAATGTTGTTTCAGGAGACGGTGCTTGCTGGTCATATTTGTTTACATTTCAGAGAGTTTAATGGTGTAACTTTGAAGTATATTTAACAAAGTTTCTGACAAATCTGATAACCAATAAAGTCATGTATAACTAGGCTGCCATACATATCTATGTTATTAAATTATGGAGGAATAAATATGCTAATTACATGAAGAGAAAATTTCATTTCAGAAAGTGATAAGTCCTCGGCTGATTATTCATTTCATGTTCAATCCTTCAGGCACCTGTTCGAAGTATCTGAGTTTTCTTTACAGTTTAAATAAATAAATTCTTTAGTTGATTACGAGACAAGGTAATTTGCCTATCTGGGGCAAAGGCCCTGGCACGTAACCATGAAAAGGGTGGCTAATCTGGGAGCCTGCCAGACAGATCGGAAGGTATCAGTTGCATGTATGCATACTGACTTAATCAGAAAACTTACTCATAGTATTCCGTAATTGTAAACTTCCTGTTCTTTGTTTTTACTTGCAGGACAATGCAGCGTTAGAAATTGGCACTGGTCCTGTAGTCCTTGTCAAACTGACCAATAGTTAAGGTATCATAAGAACTGGTAGAAATTTCTCATTTTTAAGGGTTTTGCTATTACCGTTAATTATCATGGTAAGGACTAGTGGACTTTCTAGCGCTACAATGGAGGTGTATTTTGAAATTAATGATAAGTGCTGTTTTGCAGGAAAATATTCTCTCATGTGGGAGAGTGGGAGATTTCACCAAATTATGTGAGACTTACGCAAAATGCAGGAGGGTCGACAGGTCTGGGTATGAAAGATGACAATAACTCACCTGTGCTCCAGTTCGTAGAGGTTGGGTAAGTGTGGGTGAGATGTATCCGCTGGAGGCATTCTGGGAATCATGCTTCTTGTAGCTGAGGAGGGAGTACTGTTGCGGTACCTGGCAAAAAATACCATTGTAAATATGTGACAGATGATCCAGTAATGTATCGCCATAATTTACAATGATGTTTTAATTATTTCTTAATATTCTGAATGCTGAGCTGCCAACCAATTTTCACTCCCATGTGTATTTATTCTGTCTTGAAAGAGACAGTACTTGAAATAATTTCTGAGCATGTCAAATGCCTGATTCAATTCTCAAACCAAAACAATAGAGCTCCACACAGTGAAACCAACTACGGAAGCGCTGTGCGGAGTAAAATGGCTTCAGTTTTGTTTTTTAAAAGAGGAAAAAAAAAGAGAAAGCTTGTGTGTTTCGCTTATGGATGAGTTGCAAAATACTAATTGCCAGCTTGATCAGATCAGAAGTCAGTGTTGATGAAAGCCTTTGTTACAATATAAATATGTGACAGTGGTATGAAGGCTATCAATCTCCTACCCAGGGTTCCTTGCAGCCAGGCTTGTACCTCTGTCACATCGTAACATCTTATACAGTCCATTCATGTGGTTTTCATCTGTTTCATTTTGGATCAGTCTTCTCATTTAGATGATCATGAAATGTTTAATCAACTTTCATTGAGAAAATATCCTAATACGCGACAAACTATTTCCTTTTGTATATGTATCCTCCACATCCTGTCATCGAAGCCTTGAAGGTAAAGCTAGTAATACGGTCACTTTGATGTGTAAAGCTATATTGTCATGCACCTCAATGTCGCAGTTATAGTAGTAGATCTAAATAATTATGCAAAACAATATGTACAGAGCAATGAAAGGCTTGCATTAGGCCCGTCTGTTCTTATTTCAGAATAAGCGTGTTTGTTTACAAACAATAGAAAAGTCTTTTCACATGATCAGTCTACACCGGCGGTGTGGTCACTGGAGCAAAAATGGAATAAGACTAGCAAGAGACGAGTAAGTTTACAAACAAAGGTTCAGAACGGTCGACGTACTGTTCCTTTAAAGTTGTTTTTTTTGTACAAAGACTTTTCAAGATGTACCTGGATTTTATTTTATATTGGACAGTTTGTTGGTCAAACCTTTTATTTTCCAAGCAATGTAAGATGTGCTTTTGCCTGTTGACTCGCTATAACAGCCCAGGTCACCCCGTTATTGCCCTGAGGCTGAGTTAACCTTGGACCTTGAAGGCAGCACCCTGGTCCACAGATGACAATGTTCCACTTGAGTCCCGATCTGCAACTGGAGCAGACACCTGATGCTCATCACCTTCCAGAGCAGTAGGTGGCATGACCTCAATAACGAGCCTGCCATTCTTATAATAGCCCTCTATTAGCCCTTCTCTTACCTGAGCAAAGTCAGTTTCTCATGCTGTCGCTTATTACGAATAATTACAAGAAACCAAGCAAAAGCAATGAAACATGTGAAAATAGCAAAAAGTACCCTATATTTCCAATCAGACTTTGTTTGAATCTTTTGCAATAAGGGGCGTTATGTACAATATAAACCCTCAATGTAAAAAAAAAATTACATAAGGAGTAATTGTTACATTAAGGGTTGTAACAAACCTATTCAACCACGACTTGTAACCAATCTGGGAGAGGTCTCCAAGTCAATTAGCTCTACAAGACAAACCCCCAAAGACATAAGGCGGATTTGCTTGGCATCTCATGTTACGCTTTGTTGAAGCTTTGCCAAAGCTATTAATCCCACCGCAGGATTGAAGTATGCTAAGACAAGATGAGGTAACAATCAACAACATCAATAAGAGGATCTTCAAACCAAAACTGAGACATCATGTGCTCAAGGCAGAGGTGAGCAGGTAAGGGTTTGGAACACCACTGAAACGTCCACGCCTTACGGCGACTTCATAGTGGAAGAATATTGTCTCTACAGATGAGTTTTTTGCCTCTCCATTGAGGTCTCAATCTGGGAACATGAAAGTACATTAATAAACAACAGAGTGGCTCTCCATTATTTATTCATGCTGTACACAATTCAGGAGACCACTGAGGTAACTACCTGTGAGATGGGGATAAACAACCTCTTCCGGGATCGTCAAAGTATCGATGACACCTGCAGGTAGATGCGTAAAGCTCTGACTGGACATAGTGAGATGTCCTCACGATCCTTGAGGAGTAGGATAGAGGCCAAAAACGGGATGAATAGTCTGCTGGGTTGACCCAGAAGTTGGTTCTTCGCGATGAAGTCCCATTAAGACCAAATTGCACTTTGCCATGGCTGTGCTTCTTGAATCAAATCCTGTTGACATCCAAGGCGTGTATCTCGCTGACCCTCACAGCAGTAGCCAAAGCAAGAAGGAAGACTATTTTGAGAGTGATCTGATCGAAGTCTTTAGTTTCCAGAGGTTCGTATTCTGCTGACGTCAAGTGTCGAAGAATAATGTTCAAATCCCACTTAGGTGGATGAAATCTGGATGACTGGTCAGCGAGTTTATAAGAGCTGAGAAGAGCTTGGAGTTTGGCAACTACAGAAATCGTCACGTCTGTTGTAGTAGTGATGACCAAGTTAAGAGCTGCTTGATATGTAGATAACATTGAGCCCTTAAGCTTCCTGGCAGAACGAAGATGCTGACGATATTCTGCAACTTGCTGTGGAGTAGCAGTAGTAGGAGAGGGGATAGACCTGCCACGGCAGTATCCCTAGAAGGCTTTCCATTTATGGTCATACAAAGCTTTGGTCGAAGTACGATCAGTAATGGTCGTCGCTACTCAGCTTGTGTACCCTTTTGCTACAAATGACTTCTGGAGATGAACCTGACGCATAGATGTGTGATGTCCAGGAAAGGATGAAGAAGGCTCGAGTGAGTTTGAAGGAGAAGGACACTTCAAAAAGGAAGCAGATGATGACTTCCCTTTGCAAGGTCTACCAATGAGTCAACCAACTGCGAGCTGGCCAGTTAGGTGTGATCAAAATCATATGTATTTGAGTTGTGGCAACAACCTTCTGAATCACCCATGGTAGTACATGTAGCTGTTATTGGAAAGGCTTAAGTGTAGAGATTCTCCCAAGATATGTCCAGAGCATTATACTCCCATGGCTCTTGATCCGGAATTGGAGAGATGAATCTGGGAGTCGTGTGTTGAACCTGGTTGCGAATAGGTTGATCTCTGGGTGATGGTAGAGGTGGCAAATCCCCTCGCAGATAATCGGATGTAGATGCCATTCTGTTGAGGGTGGACAACCTGGATGGGACAAGGGAGTCTGCTATGATGTTGCTGACCCACTGAATGTGTCAAGCTCTAGCAGGATGCCCAACGCATCGATCAACCGAAAGAAGTCATCAGGGCAAGCAGGGAGGCTGACTTGGTGGATCCAATCTTGTTGATGTACCAAACGTCTGAGGTGTTGTCAGACTGGATCATGACTCCTTACGACCGAAGAACTTCCGCCCAATGAGGGAGATCACTTGAATGACCGCCTTGAATTCGAGATTGTCGATGTGGAGGGTCGTTTCCATTGCGGTCCTGATGTCTGACGATACTGAAGGTGCCATTGTTGATCTGAAGATAAGGTCCCAGAAAAAGCTGAAATGGACGTAGTTGTAGACGACCTCTCTGGGAAGGAGCTTGTGCCGACATGAAAAGATCAGATAACTGCTGCCATTGTCGAAGATGTAAAGACTGTCTAAGTGCTAATGGCACGAGTCGTTGTATCTTCTTACACCTGTCCGGAGGAAAGAAAATCTTCCTGAGATCAGTGTAAAAAAGAGCTCCGATGAATCGCAGTTGTCGAGAGGGTGTGGTCTCCGACTTTTCTGTGTTGACTAGCCAACCGAGATGATGAAGTAATCTCTGCGCGAAGGCGAGATGCTTGACTAGAACTTTCCGGTGGGTATGAGCCTGGATGCAGTCGTCTATAAATGACTTGAAGATGATCTCTCTGACGTGAAACTTCTTGATGGGCTTTATGAGGCGGGCAAAATGCCATGGTGCCGAAGAAATTCCAAACAGGAGCACCTATCACTGGTAGTGACGACCTTGGAAAATACACCCGAGGTAATGGCGATGCTGTCGATGGAAGGGTATGTGAAGGTAGACGTCTTGTAGATCCAGGCTGACCATGTTGTCCCCTTGTCGAACGATGGTGCAAAGGAGCGCGACAGACAACTTGCGAAAATGAGCTGGCTTTTCTACGTACCATGTGTTAAACAGCTTCATGTTGAAAATCATCTTCTTCGTCCTCTACCACGAAAAGAACCTGATTTATATGTTGGGAGGGGTTGAATTGGGGACGTCTACGGTCCTGCCTCCTGAATCCTGTTATGGAATAGGTTGGGAGATGACCACAGCAATAGACCGATCCAGTCTGTCAATCAAAACTAGCGCATGCGTGAGTTTTATCCAATCAGAAGACCGGGCATGCTTTGCGGATTTGTCAGACTTTATTCCGTGGTCAAACGATGCCTGAGAAGAGACATGCTTTGTGCTATTTTCACTCGCGATATCCATTACAAATTGCTGGGATTAGATGTATACCCTTACCCAAACCCACAGGGTTGGGAGAAAAATGTTTGAGGCTGTTTGAGGTGTGCGGTAGGCCTCAACATCAGTTGATGTCGCCACCATCTTCCACGGTACCCATGTCTGCTCAAAGGTGAGAATTTGCACAAATTTTCGCACTTTTGCACATATGCATATTCAATACGAGTAAATGACAACATGTAGCAAGTTAAGATTTTACGCATGTTATAAACAAGGATAATGCTTGTAACTACAAAATCATTTTTGAATTATGTATTTTGGCAACATCGGGCATTGAGTCAGCAGGCCATGTTGCTGAAATGTGACACGCATGACGGCCGTGACACTCTGTAAACAAATATGACAGTGATCTGTTTTCGATTAGTACAGATAGAATTGAAGTACAATCTGGTGGAAATTGTTGTCCTCTCTCTTAGATGTTATTTATTTTGTTACAGATTTGAAGATATGATTTTAGTTAAATCACAACAATCGCAATGAGCCTATATATCTATAAATACATGTTTTGCAAATTACTCGAATATATTATTTCAAA